TTTGTAGCCAACTTTCCGACATTGATGACATCGATACATTTGAATGCTTCACGTTTCGACTTATCTTCATGCCTCGGCGTGAATCTTTGTTCTTTTTCAAACTTTTGGTGTGCATTCTGACGCTTCATCGATTGTCTCTTTAGGAACATTGCGTTTGGTAGTTCGCACGTTTCTCCGTGCGTTGTATTCCTCGATGATTTTCATACGTAGATTTTCGGAATTCGATAGCTCATCACGTAATTCAATTCGCGCACCTGAAATTTTCACAGTTAGAACGTTAGATGGGAGACTGTATAGCAGCATCACTGTTAGTAAGTCGGGATTTATTTCTATTTTCATCTCTGTTAACTTGTCGACGATGTCGAAAAACTTACAAAGATATCTTGCACATCGCCATTCTCATCCCTTTTACATAAGGTTAATTGCTTTAATAATGAGGCATTTCATGCTGGTCCACTTGATTGATAAGTTGATTGATTTTAATTTGAGTCACTTCTTTCGATGTTTCGCATTCTTTGATTAATTTACTTCGGACGACTTAATTACTAGGATGATGTCCGACTTTGCCTTTTTGTCTTCGATGTCCCATGTTCTCTGCTTCCGCTGATGCATTACTGGGGATAACCTCGGCCTTTATTTTCTCACCGCAGATATATCCCACGCATTGTTTTTTATCAGAATTCTGCATATATCGTAGTTTTCCTTGCTCAGGGGTTCTATTCGTATTACATTCGACGATGCTATCTTCGTTTTTTTCTTTGTGTTGATTCTTTTATGATCGTTCGCAAGATAACCTTTCTTTTGTCACTTCATTCGTATCGATCACTGTTCCCGTATTCGTTCTTTGTTTCTGTACCCTGGGCCCATAACCTGTTGTCGTGTTATCGGGTACATGGAGGCGACACGGTAGGTCGATTTTAATGAAATATTCAGAACAGATACAAAAGAAAATAAGAAAAATCAAGATTTTTATATACACGTGAGAAGATAAAGAATTCAGGAGAGAGATTAAAATCAAAGACACTAAGAAGGTGGTGCTGTCGCGCACTACTAGAGTCCCAATGATTGCATCCGAGCACGAAGTATGAATTCTCTCGCCATTCTTATCAAAATCGTGTGTTGGAAATGGCTTTCTCAAAAATTCTTCATGATGTTTATGCAATGTTTTATTATTTAAAGAATCATATATAAATATATTTATTCTATCATAATAGCTACATTCAATGTTCATCTAATGAATCAGATGAACTGTGTAATTTGTATATGCATTTTATCTGTCAATATAGGTTGTATAGTATTAGGTAATTGTATTCGTCATGTGTCAACAGGTGTATATTCTGAACAGTTTCGTAAAAAATCTTGAAAATGTTCCATATATAAGTCTGTAAGCTATTCTCCTCTGAATAATATTTCTAATATCAGATGTTAAAATATATCTTGTCTTTTCAGACATTTTATTAATAAACTTTTCAAGGACATAGCACTCTTTCGTATCAAAATAGCTTTATATTAGTACATAATAGTGTATCTTGTAGATATATAACGCCCGTTCTTTGCAGGCGCACAGCACTCGTTTCTTATAGGCGCACAGCACCCTTTTCTTACAGGCGCACAGCACCCTTATCGACACTCATAATAAAAAAAGTAAAAATAAAAACAACTTACCTGTTCTTTCTTCTGTCACAAGAAACTGGAAATCCTACACAAACAAGCCATAAAATTTGAAAATTTTATAATATTTTAAAATAAATGACAGAATTTGAAATTTATACACGGAATAATGAGACGAATCAATTGTTTACAAATTGATTCATTCTTCTTATTATTCTGTACATAAAAGTATATTAATGCACAGCAATAAAATAGAAAAGCGGAGGGCCAAATACGAACAATTAATAGATGTAATTCGAAGCAATAATGACTCTATTTATTAACCATTACGGTAACAAAATTGATCGCGATGACAAATGTTTCGACTTAGTCTTTATCATTGTAAATTTTAAGAATAAATACAATAACATAAATATAAACATTAATGTTTTATTTTATATAAATATAAAAAAAATACTCTTGCGACTACGATAATTAACTTTTCTCTCCTAATTATTATTCTTTATATCTTTTATATTTTTCAACTAAAACATTAATATTCATATTTATCTTTTTTTAAAATTTACACTGATGAAAACTAAGTAAGACGAAACGTTCCTCATGTCATTGCGATCAATTTTGTTATTGTAATGCTCAATAATTCATTATTGCTTCGAATCATATGTATTAATTCTTCGTTTAGCCGTTTTGCTATTCAATCTAACCTTTTCACGCGATTATCTTCCGAAATATTATACTTGATAGAAAGAATATTATCTAAAATCTAATTAACATATCATTTAAATTTACATGTCAAAAGAACTTGTATAACATAAAAGTTATATATTAGGTGTACAAAAAAGTTCTGAACTTTGGATTTCATACAACCGAAATAACAATTTAAATTTTATATATCTTCCCGCTCTTTTGCGGTTTTAAAGCGTTGACATTTGGCCTTCTAAAATGCTATACGGTTTGGCGTTTGATGCACATAACCTCAACAATCAGTAGTGTTCACGATGGCAATAACAAAAGAGCATATTCGATTTTTCATCTACTTCGCGTTCATCTGAAGAAAAATGCTGCTGAAGCCACTGCAATGATTTATGCTGCATATGGAGAGAACGCTGTAAGTCATACTACATGTAAAAGATGGTATCAAAAATTTCGCCAAGGAGATTCAGTCTTGAAGAT